AAAAAAAAAAAAAAAAAAAAAAAAAAAAAAAAAAAAAAAAAAAAAAAAAAAAGACAACTTGAAGACACATGCTGAAGAACCACCTCAGCCAAAATGGGGACCGCGGAGTGGTCGGGACGGTCTTCCCGGATGACCTCCCCTTCACAAAGGGACGACTCCCGTTCTTGTGCTGTTTGAGTCAGCGTCATAGGATACTCAGCAACCAGGTCTCATAGAATGGTCATCAAAGCGACCCGCCCTTTGTTAACAACGTGTCGCCAGGGACCGTCACCTCAGTCTTAAAACTGCACGAGCGTGACACAACCTGTCAACCTTCCATACACATCCCAATGGAACAACCGTATGCACAGCCACACCAAAGTGGCGGACCGGGTACACACTTACTGTACCGCAACCACACAAACGCACAACAAATGGGTCAACAGCAACGACAACCATAATGGCATTTGGAAATGTCCACACTCAGCAAAAGGGGGCAGGGAGGGAGTTGCTGATACAACCACAGCAACAACACCTGCAGTATCCCCCGAGCCAGAATCAGGATGGAGCAGCACACCCGGGGCTCCCAAGGTGCCCCAGCCCTCCTCGACCCCCTCACCCAATCAGAAAGACACCTGCATGGGCCAAAAAAATGGCTGCGGCGGATCTCAACATCAGATCAATCAATGTCAATGGCTTAGCTCAGCCAAACAAACAAAAAAGAAATTGCTTTATGGAAAATGATGACACTAGACATGGGCGGGGAATGGCCAGATGCTATAGTGGTGCAGGAAACCCAACTGACAGACTCACCCCCCCACCAAGACAGGGCTTCCCAAGTCTGGCCATATACGACCATCGCAGCCCGGCCAGATCCTCTGCTTCCACAGTGGTGCCCATATGGCTCCCCCCTTCATTGACACTGTCTCCGATTCAGGCCGAATGGGACAGAGTCGATGAAGGGTGGATTCGGTTGAAGGCCCCAACCGGGTCAGAAAAGGTCTACGTGGTTTGCGTGTACGCACCAAATGATCCAACACTTCAGATCCAGTTCTTGCGCTCCCTTAAGCAATCCCTCCCCACTGATGCGCCAATTATAATGTGTGGAGGCTTCAGCTGTGCCCTTGACCCAGACATGGACAGGATATCAACCTCCCAACACTGCTGGGTGCGGGCTCTCAAACCGAGACAGGACCGCCACGCTCGCCAGCATGATGACGGGCATGGGTCTCATGGACACATTCAGACTGTTGCACCCGACCAACCGGGCCTTTACATGTGTCCGCTCGAGGGGATCTGCAGGTGTCTCAAGTTCGAGAATATATCTTTTTCTCCTGTCAGAAGCCCTTCAAGGCCTGTTGACCACAGTCGAGATTCTCCCTTTCTCTCCTCGTAAATCTTTTGATCACCGCGCGGTCACACTAGGCATCTCCTTCCACTCGCACATTGACCGGGGTCTTGGCTACTTGAAGTT